GAGCTTAGTACAGAGAGTAGGAATTAAGAGCTGATGAAAATTTTATAATAGCAAACAATTATTATAACAGAATAGAATGGTGTGAAACTCTGGGAGATCGTTGAGTATTTGGGTCATACATCGGTAATATTTGGCCAAAATTAATAGCGTGAAAAATTGAAATTAAAATAAATAAAAATTGTCTTGCTATGAATTCTCTGTGTTTTTTAACACTGTGCAACACAAAAAATCCGCTGATTATGAAAATACAGCTAAAAATAAAAGACACGTGATTTGTCTTTTTGAAAGCTTACATCGCAAAATAACTTAAATTGAAAAGAAAAGTCCCCATTTTTTACATGTTTTTGAAATTTTAGAATTAAGAAATCCATTCAACACCAAAAATAATTACGAGGACAATTCAGCATATTATGAAAGTAGAGTTTTAAAAGAAGACATGTGTATCGGAAGACGACATATAAAAGCTTATATCGAAAAGTTACCTAAATAGAGCGGTAAGTTAAGCAGTCGCCTTTCCACCTTTTTTTTAAATTTTTCGGATTAAGAGTCTTTGGATTCCTTGCATTTTAGTAATGTAGGGTCCCAGGCAATTTTACAGACATCAATACGGGGATTATTATACCCTCCACCATAGTATGGAGGTTATATTAAGTTTGTCATTCCGTATGTAACAGCTCGAAATATACATTTTAGACCCCACAAATGATACATATTCCTGATCAGCGTAAAATTCTATGTCGATTCAAAAACGTCCGCCCGTCTGTGGAAATCACTCTAGCTTCCGAACGAAATGAAGTAAGTTCATAAAAATTTACTCAAATGTGTATCATGTCTGCAGAACTTTTGGTATTGAAAATGGGCCATGTAGGTCCACATCTTCGTATAGCCCCCATATAACGGTACCTCCTGATATGCGGTATTTTGAAGATTTTAGCGACATTATTTACCGGAATTGATATTTGAAGTTTGCAACGGATACTACAGCCTATGGCAGAAAATTTTTTGTGCAGGTCCACGTCTTCGTATAGCCCCCATATAACGGTATACCCCGGTTTTCGGTATTTTGATTATTCTAGCGACATTATTTAACATAAGTATTTCAAATTTAGTATTTGAAGTTCGTAATGAGTACTACATCCTATGAAAGAAGATTGTCTGTGAAGGTCCACGTTTTCGTATAGCCCCCATATATATTTTAGCGACATTATTCACCGGAATTGTTTCAAAATTTGCATTTGGAGTTCGTAATGAATGCTACAGCCTATTACAGAAAACTGTCAGTGCAGGTCCACGTTTTCGTATAGCCCCCATATAACTGTACACCCCGATTTTCGGTATTTTGATGATTTTAGCGACATTATTTACCGGAATTATTTCAAATTTTGTATTTGAAGTTCCTAATAGATACTACAGACTATGCCAGAAATTGGTCTGTGTAGGCTTATGACAAAAGTTGCGTATGCAGGTCGACATCGTCGTATAGACCCTAATATATGGCTACATTCGGTATTTTTAAGATTTTAATAGAATTTTTAATGGATTTTAATTTTTTTAAAAATTGCCAAATTTGTACCAAATGGTGGAGGGAATTCAAAGTTCGTTTTTACTTGTTTTGATTATAAATTTTAGCCCTACATCGAGTCGTCAAAGGGAATTGTTGGAAGACAAAATATCCCACAAAATTAGTTGTAATACAATTTTACTATAAGTCCTATAAGATGTTAAGTCTAAATCTTAAACAAACGCCAAGAATTAAATTTAAAAAAATTAAATATATTAAAAAAACATATTCGGGTAAAAACCATAATTTGTGCAAAAATCTTTAACAAACTATCATTTTAGAAGAATGACCTCAAGGACAAAAATATTCCTCATCAAATTTCACCATAAGTCACCAAAGGAAATAAATTTCTATTTCCACTGCAAATCACAAAAATATTGGTATCAAAGTTCCAAAAAAAACAAAAAAATTAATATATTTCCTAATTTTTTGATAAATTTTCCCTTGATCTTTTTTCGAATTGACACCAGAAAGTGACATAAAATTGGTTTTTGTCAGAAAGTGTTAAGAGAAGTAATATTCTACCAAAAATTTTACTACAAATACCAGAATAAAGCATTCATTTAGGTCTATTGGTTTTTAAGAAAATTGCATTCGAAATGTACATATATCAATTAAGACTTTGCTTTTTTACTATTAATGTAATATGTTCCTAATCCAAGTCAAAATCTTTATCAGAAGTATAATGGCAAAGACAAAAATATTCTTCATTAAATCTCTATTTCTACTGCATATCACAAAAATAGCTTAACATGTGTACCCACAAATATTTCCCAACTTTCTTTTTGATAAATTTTCTCTCTATTATTTTTCTAGTTGATGCTACGAAGTAGTATAAAAGGCGAAAGTGTCAAAAGATGAAATATTCCACATAAAATTTAATTAAATATCTTAAAATAAATTATATATCCAAGTTTAATAGATTTTAAGAAATTTTTATACAGGATGAGATGAAAAACTGCAACCAACTTCAGACTGCTGTTATTTCTAAGCCACTCGTCTGACAGCTGTTAAAATTATTACAGTGACAATATATTGTTTACAAGCGTACAAAAGCATTTCGGTGAGAATCTTCCAGAAAAAAAGTTATTCGTGATGAAATTCAAGAGTGTGATAGTGTGCTTTCTTTATATTTGGCTGGAAAATCACAAGTGGTTATCGTTGGAACACTCCTGCATTTAAATGTGAATATATCATTTGTGTCTCGTACCATCGCTCGGTATCGTGATACTGGTAGCGTAGCCAGATATATGTCAAGGAAGTGGACGAAAGAAAACAGCATCATCAGCAGAAATGGTTCGACATGTAAAGAAACGACTTGATCGAAATCCGCGTCGTAGTGACCAAAAAATGACTCGTGAGCTCAATATATCGCAATATTCTATTCGGCAAATATTGAAAAATGAGCTCGGGGTAAAGCCATTGAAATTCCAAAAGGTGCAAGAACTTACAGCGCAGCAGAAAGAAAATAGACTCAAAAGACCTAAAGAGTTGCTTCGCTTGTCCGAAAGTGGTGAATTGCCGAATTTGGTTTTCTCCGATGAGAAAACATTCGTTGTCCAGCAGTTTGAAAATAAACAAAATGATCGTGTTTACTTGCCAAAGAGGTCAGCTGAAAATGTGCTCCTTTGGTTGGCCACCAGAACTCAAGCGCCGGCCATGGTAATGGTGTGGGCCGCCATAACAGCTGATGGTCGCTCTCCGCTCGTGTTAATCGATCGTGCCATCAGAATAAATGCCGAATATTATGGCAAAAATATTCTGGAGGGTTTATTAAAGCCTTTGGCACGAAAAATTTTGGCCGCAGAGCTTGGACATTCCAACAGGCACTCAGCACCAACACTCGCTCAGCAGGCGCCAACCAAGAATGATTATAAAATTAGGTTTCTGGCTTCATTTCCAGCGCACAATGGCCACCAAAATCTCCGGATACCAATCCGTTGGACTATTGTGTCTGGAGTATTTTGGAAAGCAAGGTTGGCACTAAAAGATACCATAGTGTCGATCACCTCAAGCAAGCGCTTCGCCGGGAATGGGCCAAAATAACGCAGAGAAACATTGGGGCAGCGTGTGACGGTTTCATTGGCCGTTTGAAGACCATAATTCGTGTTAAAGGTAACCAATTCGAACAAATCTAAACTTATTCTAAAATTTGATGCTATTTCCGACATTTTTTGCATTCATTCAATAAAATTTAAAAATAAGTAAAAATAATGGCGTATGACTTTGTGGCAGTTTTTTTTTTATCTCACCCTCTACTTCCAATTTTGTACATTTTTTCGGCAACATTGATGGTCATATTTTCTGGATACATGATGGAAATATACATTTATCTTCGTTGGTGACTCATAGTGAAATTGGTTTCAGAATATTTTTTCCTTTGATGCATTCCCCAAAAAATTAAGTATTGAGGGAGACCTTGTCTTAGAAAGAAAACCTGTTAAATTAACAGCGAATAAAAGTCAACTCATAATTTTGGCTTATAATCTACAAATTCGAATTTAATTTTCTTAAAAACTATTGAAGCTAGAAATTTGGTTTATTCTGAAGTTTGTGTAGAATATTTTCTCCCTTGACACCTACTCTCTAAAGGTACATTTTATATTAATTTCAGGCCTCAATTCGAAAAACGGCAGAGGATAAATTTATCAAAAAATGAGGAAATATTTTCGCATATTTTTGGCAACATAGATGTTAGTATTTTCCTGATATATAATGACTATAAGGATTTCTTTTCTTTGGTGGCATATAGTAAAATTTGATGAGGATAATTTTTGTCTTTGGAGTCATAGCTTAAAAATGGTGTTTTGTGGGAGAAATTAGCTTAAACTCACATAAAGTACGACGGCTTTAACCCTAAAAAGTGTTTTTATTAAATGGGAATTCCCGACGTTCAGATACTATAGGTCTAGGGCCCATAGTGGAATTTTATGGCAAATAATTTTGTAAACTTTTTCGACATTCCGTTTAAAGGCAGTTTTTAACATTTTTTTTAATAGACACCTTCCCTGCCTCGCTTGAGGGTTAAAATTTTTGACCAATTTATTTCCCTCATTATTATCTCCCTCTTTCACACTTTTGGAAATTTTCAGATGAAGATTCCTAGGAGATATATGGTGCATATCTAAGATGCACAGACCTAAGAATCTTTGTCTGAGAGTTTCCAAAAGTGTGAAAAAGGGAGGATCTTGTCCCTCGATTAAAAAAAAGGTTTTCTTTAGTTCTTAGAATCCCCCTTTATCTCAAATAAAATTTTGGGATGTCTGACAAAAAGTTTACCTTAAATGCATTATCCTACGGATTAAAGAAACTTAAGTTTGCAGGCCTTAAAAGTAATTCTTTGGTTGTCGACAATATGTCACGATTCTAATTCAAAATTAAGGCAAAGATCTCAACCGATCCTTTTTAACTTCAAATAATTTCAAATTCTTGGACTTACCTTTAAAATACACCTTCCCTTCGCCTCGTTCTCCGCCACGGTGACATTATAAAAACTCTGATCGAAAATCGGTTCATTATCGTTGACATCGTGTATGGTAACCAAAACTGTGGCCGTCGATGACATTGGCGGATGGCCATTGTCATGGGCCAATACGGTTAGCTGCGGCACTGGTTCCGTCTCGCAATCGATGTGGGTCCTCGTAGTTATCACTCCCGTGTAGGTATCAATTTGAAACCATTGTGAATGGGTATCGGGTGTATCCAAAAGACTATAGGTCACTGCCGAATTATTGCCCTCATCCCGATCATAGGCATAGACCTGGAGCACAGAGGTGCCAGGATCTGAGATTTCCATGACATTTGCCTGATAAATGGATTTCTCGAATTCGGGGGCATTGTCATTTATGTCTGTGACTCGTAAATAAATTGTTTTCGAGGCATGTAGAGGGGGTGTGCCATTATCCGTGGCCACCACGGAGAGGGTGTAATTGGGGGTGATTTCCCGATCCAAGGTCATATTGACTATCACCAGATATATTATGTTGTCCCGTGTGGTCAAACCAAAATGACCATCTCCCCCATTAAGGGTCACATTGACATTGGCGTACTCGGTTTTGGAGTCGGGATCACGCACCGAAATGCGGGCCACAAAATCCCCAGGTTCAGCAGATTCCGAGATTTTCGGGGTGGCATCATCGCTGAGAAAAATCACATTTATTGTGGGCTGATTGTCATTGACATCGGTGACCCGTATCGAAACAAAGGCTGTGGTTTCAAGGGGCGTCTCCCCATGATCCTTGGCCACCACCACCAGTTCGTGTAACTCCCTCGTCTCAAAATCCAGGGGTTTATTTACCGAAATCCAACCAGTCTGGGCATCAATTTGAAACATTTGTTCCTTGTCACTTTGTCGCCGATTTATGAAGTACTCCACCAAACCATTTTCCTCGGCATCGGCATCTGTGGCATAGACCTGTAGGACCATGGTACCCACTGTGGCATTTTCCGGCACCGTTGCAAAGTAACGACTTTGATTAAAAATCGGCTGATTGTCATTCACATCCTGTATGGTAATGTTCACTGTCATCTGGCCCCTCAGCGGTGGGGTGCCCCCATCCAGAGCTTCAATGACCAGACTATAAAATGGCGTGGTTTCCCTATCCAAAAAGCCATTGATCTGTAAATCCAAATATAACACTCCATCCCGTTCCCGATGCGATGATAGGCGAAAAGCATTGTTCGTATTACCCGACACGATATTATAACGCTGCGTATTGTAACGACCGAGATCCATGTCGCGAGCCGGATTTAACGTCCTCTTAACATCGCGTGGTGTATTTTCCGGAAATTCAATATTCATAACCGCAGTTGGAAAAGTGGGAGCATTATCATTTTCATCGAGCACTCGTATTTGAACGCGCACATTTTCACCACTGCGTGGTATGGCCACCAGGCTATAGGAGGCCCGAGTTTCACGATCTAAACGCACTTTTGTCCGTATTTCACCGGTGGTGTGATCAATGGCCAAATCCGTGTCCACACCGCTACCTGGCACGGGTACAATTAGGTAGGGTGGGCCACTGTCCACCCCTGGCAATTGTTCGCCAATGTAACCAATTTGATGGCCCACGGGAACACCTTCCGAGACATCTAATTTGCGATCCAATTCTGCTCTGGCCATCCATGGCAATTGTAAAATAAGGCCTAATACTAATAAAAATGGCCAAGGCCTATGACTGTTAGATGCTGAGGACAGTGACAGGAATGTTGAAGAAGTGAGGGCAAGAGGGCTAGTTTTAAATCTCCGACTATGTTCCGATTTCACTTCTTCAACTCTTCTTCGAAATCTGTGATTCATGTTAATATGTTGTTGGCTGGTTGGATTTATTGTAACATTTTCTGTTGTTGTTGTTGTGGCCTTATTATGTAATTCAGTCATATTTGTTGTTGTGTTATCCTCTCTTAATCTTAAAAATTGTTTTGTTATTCGAAAAATTCCTTCGAATTCTTTTGGGTTGATGATAAAACTATTGGTGTTTTTAAGTAGCTTCTGCTCTTTGTCCTCCAAGAGCCACAAAAGCTACTTAAGCTAGGGGGAGGTTTTGTTGCTTGCGGTATTTTTTTCTGGGGGAGCTTATGCAGTTCGTGGCTTTTAAACCCTCTTCAGCGGAAAATCTAATTGAAGATTCATGGTGGTTTTCTTGCTGCTGTTGTTTTTATTGGAAAATGGAATCATTGCGGCATTTTTTGTGTGAAAAAATGTTTGTGATTTTTTCTACGGAACACGAGACAGAATCTGAAATGAGAGGAAACGAAAAAAGTTTGGTTAATTATTTTGAGAATATTTTAAAAAAATCAAAAAATTAAAAAAATACCTACAAAAATTGAAATTAAGTAAAACAGATAATATTTTTTATTTTGAAATCAAAATCAAAGATATCTGGTACGAGAATCAGGGTTGAAAAGTAAGTTTGATATATGAAGGTGGTTTTGGTAATGTGTACTAAGTCTGTGAGCTTTACTAAAATATATTAAATTCGGGACAGTTTGGCTTAGGCTGGACGGTGGAGTTGGAATTTCGAAGATTTGGTCTTGGGATATCTGGTTCTAAGTTTTGTAATAAAGAGTGAGTTTTATAATTGGTATTACAAGTGCACGAAAAGTACCGAATAGTACAATATTTGTTACAATTTTTTATTAGGTAAATATACAGGATGAGATAAGAAAAAACCTGCAACAAAGTCAAACGCCATAATTTTTACATTTTTTTAAACATTTTATTGAATGAAAGCAGAACAAGTCGGAAATAGCATCAAATTTTAGAATAAGTTTAGATTTGTTCGAATGGGCCATCTATGGCACGAATTATGGTCTTCAAACGGCCAATAAAACCATCACACGCTGTCCGAATGTTGCTCTGCGGTATTTCGGCCCATTCCTGGCAAAGCGCTTGTTTGAGGTGAACGACACTTTGGTATTTTTTAGCGTCAACCTTGATTTCAGAATTACTCCAGACACAATAGTCCAACGGATTGGTAACCGGAGATTTTGGTGGCCATTGTGCGCTGGAAATGAAGCGAGGAACCTCATTTTGTAAGCATTCTTGGGTGCGATGGTGCTGAGTCCTGTTGGAATGTCCAAGGTCTGCGGCCAAAATGTTTGCGTGCCCAAGGGTTTAATACACCCTCCAGAATATTTTCGCAATAATCTTCGGCATTTATTCTGATGCCACGATGCGATTAATACGAGCGGAGAGCGATCATCGGCTGTTATTGCGGCCCACACCATCACCATGACCGGCACATGAGTTCTGGTGGCCAACCGAAGGTGCACATTTTCAGCTAAACTCTTTGGCAAGTAAACTCGATAATTTTGTTTGTGTTTCATTTACAAACTGCGTACAACGAATGTTTTCTCATCGGAGAAAGCCAAATTCGGCAGTTCACCACTTTCGGCCAAGCGAAGCAACTTTTTAGCTCTTTTGAGTCTATTTTCTTTCCGTTGCGGTGTAAGTTCTTGCACTTTTTAAAATTTCAATGGCTTTACCCCGAACTCATTTTTCCATATTTTCCGAATGGAATATTGCGATGTGTTCAGCTCATGAGCCATTTTTCGGCGACTGCGATGCGATCAAGTAGCTTCCTTACTTTTAGAACCATTTCAGCTGCTGATGTTGCTGTTTTCTTCCGTCCACTTGAAGTCGGGCTACGCTACCAGTATCACGATAACGAGCGATGGTACGAGACCCAAAAGATTTATTCACATTTAAATGCTGGAGTGCTCTAACAATAGCCACTTGTGGCTTTCCAAATATAAAAAAATCACCCTATCACTGTTGAGTTCCATCACGAATATTTTTTTTAGAACAGTGTTGGCTTGTTTGTTCGGGATACCTAGTATTTTGATGTTGCGAAATGGTTATGCTTAATCCCATTATTATTGTTTTTATAAAAACAACGCCTGTTTATTAGTGGAGAACGATGGTAATGTTTATCAGGGGATAAGGCAGGGAATACCTAGGTTTCGGCAAGGGCCACCAATCCC